CCTTGTATATGTCATTTGTGTCCTATAAATGTTGCTTCCAATGTATTGTAATAAACACACGAAAATATACCAAATCAATAAAAAGAATTTCTGCCCTCTGATCGACAATATGGTATCAGAGCAGTGAGACGTTCCAGTCTTCCAGACCTAACTATTCCAAACTCATCTTCTACCCAAAACCAAGCCGCCATGTCCGAAGACGGTAGCTCGAATAATAGCAACAATGATCTTACTGCACAACTTACAAACCTGTTCAAAACAACCCTCAATAACCAGAATCAAACCACGAAACAGAGTTTATCCGATAGCTTGAAGATCAGTCTCAAGCTTAACAGCCAGAATTACGCCCTTTGGGCTCGGATGATCCAAGTTGCGATTGGGGGAAAATCCAAAAGTTTGTTAAGTCATCTTTCGTGTGATCCCACACCGCCAGATCCATTAGACGACCGGTACGAGCAATGGGAACAAGATGATTTAATCGTGTTCTCATGGCTAATACAAAGCATTGAACCTGCACTTGCTAGCAATCTCACCGAGTTCCCCACGGCAAAAACCCTATGGGATGCCTTGGTGGTTACGTACAGTAGCGGGAAGGATAAGTTACAGACCTTCGACCTACACGTCAAAGCAAATGAAATCAAGCAGAATGGGGCTCCTCTTGAAGATTTTTGGATAGCCCTGCAAGGCATATGGGGTGAAATCGAGAGAAGAGATCTGAATCCAATGAAGTGTGCCATCGATATAGCCACATACAATAGTATCAGGTCTGAACAAAAACTCTTCCAATTTTTTAATGCCCTAGATCGAAGATTTGACCCTATCAAACGAGATATCCTTCGATGGGATCCGCTTCCCTCGGCAGAGGGGGCCTACGCGGCTGTTCGAAAAGAGATGGCTCACCAAGGAATCCTTGGAGCCACCACTGAAAACCCACTGCCTGGCGTGGCGGCCGGTCTTGTTGCTGGCGGGTCATACGATTCCGGCGGGTCACAAGATTCCGGTGGGATAGGGCTTGTCACGAAGGGGCAACACCGCAGATCCGACTCCTCTGGAAAACCTCCATCTCGAGTGGATAAATCAAAACTAAAGTGCAGTCACTGTGGTATGTTGAAGCACACTAAAGATCAGTGTTTTAAACTGGTCGGTTACCCCGAATGGTGGAATGATGGCCACAAGAAAACCGGTGTTCCGGCTGAGAAAGAGAAGGCGGCAACCGCCGTGGGTGCCGGCACCGACGACAATCAGATGCAAGGGGGCTTTGGTGGTATCGCCGCCTCTGGTGTGAAAAACGACGAAGGAAATGCACGTAAAGGGTTTGGGGCTTTATCCTCAGACCCTTGTTTATTAAATCCTAAAGTTTTTAGTTCCCAAAGTCTTGAAATATTACCCCAAACTATTAGACATGCTAAAATGGCTCAAAATTCCCATAAGGCACAAAATAATGCCTGGATTTTTTATAGTGGGGCCACTGAGACTATGACTTTTGAGTCTTCTGATATCACCCTTAACTCTGAACCTAGAATATCTCAAATACAAATTGCAAATGGGGGAAGTATGCATGTTAAAAGGGGGAGGGACAATTGAGATATCTCCAAAACTAAAACTTCATAATTGCCTTTATGTCCCTTCCCTATCTCATAAATTATTGTTTATTAGCCACGTCACAAAAGAGCTGAACTGTTCTGCTTTAATGCACCCGACCTTCTGTATTTTACAGGACATCAGGACTGGGATGATCATTGGGCATGGCACTGAACGACAAGGGTTATACTATGTGGATGAGGTGACTCAACACGGTACTGTGATGCTTGCTCATGGAACACCAAGTAGGGAAGCATGGCTATGGCATAGGAGGTTGGGGCATCCGTCCACAGGATACTTGCATTTATTATTTCCTACACTTTTCCCTTCTAGTAATGTTTTAAGTTGTGAAACGTGTGTTCTTGCCAAAAGTCATAGACAAACTTTTAAACCAAATAACACTCGTGTGAATTTACCTTTTTCCTTGATTCATTCTGATGTTTGGGGGCCGGCAGAAGTTAACGGGGGGCAAGGTTTCCGTTTTTTCCTATTGTTTGTGGACGATTGCACACGAATGACTTGGGTATACTTCCTAAAACACAAATCCGAAGTTTTTAAATTTTTTATCATGTTCCATGCTATGGTTCAAACCCAATACAAAACCAACATTCAAATTCTTCGGTCTGATAATGGAGGCGAATTCGTGAACAATTCTATGAAAGAATTCGTTCAGTCAAAAGGAATGATTCATCAAACCACCTGCCCAAGACACTCTGAACAAAATGGCGTTGCCGAACGAAAAAATCGGATTTTACTAGAGATGACTCGGGCTCTTATGCTTGAATCTAATGTACCAAAATCTTTCTGGCCTGAAGCCCTTGCTACCGYTGCTTACCTTATTAACCGACTACCCACCAAAGCACTCAACCTTAAAACCYCGTTGCAAACCCTATCAAAATTCACAAAAATACCGCCCAGCCTTACCCTTGAACCACGAGTTTTTGGATGTTCTGTGTTTGCCCATATTCCTAAAGTCGACYGAACCAAACTTAGTGCATGTGCTGAAAAATGTGTGTTTGTTGGCTATGGAGTGAACCAGAAGGGGTACAGATGTTACAATCCAAAGCGAGGCAATGTGATCACCACCATGAATTGTGACTGGCTTGAAACCGAGTACTTCTACCGCTCCCAACACAGTGGTCAGGGGGAGGGAAAGATTGAAGACCCACTAAGTTGGTTGAAATGGATCCCTTCTTCTAACAACGTTGATCACAGTAATGGAAATGGGTCACCTCACACTACCACTGAACCGTCAATCAGTGTCGTCCAAGATCCGCCCAACCTGGAGTTCGAGGTAAGTACTTCTCAGAACCCTGAAACTATTCCCGACCCTCCTTTATCTAGTAACCGTGGGGATCATGAAATGCCAACAGAACAGGAAGAATTTCCTGAACAAGTAGAGATTGCAGAGCCAGAAGAAGAAGTAGAAGTTCAGCAAGAAGACAACAATTCTACTCAAGAAACCGTGACTGAAAAGTATGTACTACCCCCAAGAGCAAATAGAGGAGTTTCTCCCAAAAGATGCTCACCAGAAAAGGAGACTACAAGATTAAAATTTCCTATGGAAAACATCGCTAAAGGAAACTTGTCCAAAGAAGCCAAAGCGTTTGTCACCGCTTTGTGCTCTGAACAAACACCTTCTACAACTCAAGAAGCCTTGGAATCGAGAGAGTGGAAAGAAGCCATGGAGACTGAAATGAAAGCACTCAAGAAGAACGACACATGGGAAAAGTGTGCACTCCCACCGGGCAAAAAACCAGTGGGATGCAGGTGGGTCTTCTCTATTAAACACCAGCCGGATGGATCTATTGAGAGATACAAAGCTCGACTGGTAGCCAAGGGCTACACCCAGACATATGGGATTGACTACTCTGAAACATTTTCTCCGGCTGCCAAGATCGATACGATTAGGGTACTCTTCTCTATCGCTGCCAATAAAGGGTGGCCTCTCCATCAATTTGATGTGAAAAATGCATTCCTGCATGGGGAACTGAAAGAAGAAGTCTATATGGAAGCACCACCTGGATTCGCCAAAGATTTTAAAGAAAAGGAAGTATGTCGTCTAAAAAAAATCTCTATATGGGCTAAAACAATCCCCTCGAGCGTGGTTTGGCAGATTCACTCTTGCAATGAGAAAATATGGGTACAAACAGAGCAACTCTGATCACACTCTATTTCTAAAACGAAGAAATGGCCTTATAACGTGTTTGATCATATACGTTGATGATATGATCATTACCGGGAATGATAAAGGAGAAATGGAGCAGCTAAGACAGAACTTATTTGCAGAGTTCGAGATGAAAGACTTAGGAAGATTGAAGTATTTCCTTGGAATTGAWGTTTTAAGATCAGAACGGGGAATATTCATTTGCCAGAAGAAGTATATTCTTGATCTCCTTGCAGAAACTGGAATGATGGACTGCAAACCCATGGAAACTCCGATGATGWCAAATCACAAGCTCTATATGGAACTTAAGGCTAAATTAGCTGATAAAGAAAGGTATCAACGGCTAGTGGGGAAACTAATATATCTATCACACACTAGACCCGACATAGCGTATGYTGTTGGAGTTGTCAGCCAGTTCATGCATGAACCTCAGGCAGCTCACATGGAAGCAGTTATTAGAATCATAAGGTACCTTAAAGGAACACCTAACCACGGGGTGTTATTCAAATCGAACGGGCACTTAGAGATACAAGCATACACTGATGCTGACTGGGCAGGTGACAAAGGGAACCGGAGGTCAACCTCAGGTTATTTCACGTTGGTTGGCGGGAATATAGTGACGTGGAGGAGCAAGAAACAGAAAGTTGTTGCACTCTCAAGTGCAGAAGCTGAATTCAGGGGCATAGCTYGGGGACTGGCAGAAATTCTATGGATCAAGAAACTTTTAACCGAACTTGGTTTTCCTCCGAAGGGCACAAGTAGAATGATGTGTGATAATGAGGCTGCAATTCAAATCTCCGAAAATCCAGTTCAACATGATCGAACAAAACACGTGGAGATTGACCGACACTTCATCAAAGAAAAACTGGAAGCTGGAATTATCGAACTTCCGTTCGTCCGATCAGAAGACCAGTTAGCAGACATTCTAACAAAGGCGGTCAATGGAAGAATCTTTAACCACTGTCTTGGCAAGTTGAGTTTTGGGGATCCCACTACTCAACTTGAGGGGGAGGGTTGGAAAAAAGAAAAAAGGAAATGATTTGTCAAATATCACCTCCCAAATTCAAGGATCAATCTCGATCTGTTACAGCCTAGAATCATGCACAACCTTTCCTTGTATATGTCATTTGTGTCCTATAAATGTTGCTTCCAATGTATTGTAATAAACACACGAAAATATACCAAATCAATAAAAAGAATTTCTGCCTTCTGATCGACAATAAAAAGTTTGTAGATCAAGTGAATGTTGAAGAATGTCGGAGATCATCTACTTTTTCTACCTTGAAAAATAGTGAGAAGTGAAGCATGTGTATAAAGAACCTGCAGCACCAACTACAGTACAACCACTTCTCTCTTTTCATACTTTAATAGCAAATGGAATGAAAAACCTAAGCATGCTTCTTTCAACATCAGCCCTGATGAATTCCTTTGTGCAGCCATTTTCTTGGGAAAACAAATAACTTCCTTACGTCACATAAAACCCCTAAAGAGTAATCTGGGGCGTCGGTCAAAGTAGAAAGTTTTTCTACTTTTGAAGAGAGATCATGGGTATGAAGAGAGAGAAAGAGAGAGGGCAGTAACTCTCATGCACATTACACAGAGTAATTATGAGTTTGGTCATAAGTTTGATAATTAAAATAGATTTTCCCAACCCAAACCCATGTAGAACGCAAGGACTAACTACTCTATAGAGTTACAAAAAAAATTAAGGGAAAAGAATTTATTTTATATCGCTTAAACATATACTGGTCTTCAGCACAAAATTAAGTGCACAAAGTAACTAAAATTACCAATTTGTCGCTCCATCCAAGAACTAGTATGTGGTTGCTTTCGATTACTTCGCTTTTCCCTTTCCGCAATGAATCCACCTTCTCTGAGATAGCATCTGAAACAAGCCCTAGCATCATTGCAAATATCAGCATCCCTCCTGAACTTATAGAGACTGAAACAATTCTTGGTCCAGTGCCAACCCTATCTGCATGATTTCCTGAATCTGCCACAAATGTCCAAGAAAGCCAAAGGGCTTCAGCAAGGCTACCATCACTGACAGCATAAAGTGCCAAGCCACCAAATGCTATGAGAAAGATGGTTGCAAAGAGAAGCGCAAGCAACTTCGCATAAGGATAGATAGAGAAGCACACGTCCACCATATACGCAATTCTCTTCTTTAGTGGAACCTCCTCTTTGTTATTTTTTGCCCGCTTCGAGATATTCTTAATCCGGGGAAGATCATCAAGGTATTTGTACAATACAAAAGGTGTAACAAGTGTAAACAGAACAACGTAGAGAGCAATGGTCCGACTGTCGGTGTTGCCAATATACACAAATGAATCCTCTATATCTTGCTTCAAAACGTCGATGCTTTCATTATGAGGAATGTCCTTATTATTATGAATTCTACTAAGATTGTCATTCTCTACCTGCAAACAGGTTAGCCTTCATCATCAAATAGTCTTTAACAAGATCATCTATATTTGCAAGAGCTAAACGTAAACAGCAATAACAAATGAAGAGGGATAGAAGAGAGAGAAAGAAACAGCAAATCTTGTGAACCAAAATTAGTCACAAACAAACTTTGTTATGATTATCATAGGGGAGATAGTCAATTAACTTGTGTAATTTCAGAAAAAATGGAAGTGTTGTAGGTTTCTTGGGACGTCCTAAAAGGGAAAACTTTGCAGTCATCATGGAATGGTTGGAGTATCCCTTTTTGTTGAAGTAAAAGCAGTATCTATTGTCAAACAAGAAGCCTCTTTTATTTTCTAGCAATTTTAAGCAAGAAACCTGATTATAACACGGTCGCTAGAGAGAGAATAGTGAACTGAATCAGCACTACAACATCTCCTCTCTTTTCCACTTTCCATTTTTGAATAACCAACTTTTTGTAAATGTGAATTAGACAAAGATAATAAGCACATTATGGACACATTAACAATTCAGTCGAAGAATTTAATACCTGAAGCTTCATGACTTCATTCCTCAATATAATTGCATAAGATGCAAACACTACACATAAAAGTACCAGCTGCATTAACAAATAAACGTTAAAAAGCAGGATATGATGCTCTGATGGCTTCCTGCAGAATAAGTATATGAACATTACAGACATATAGACATTCAAATGATAACTAAAATAACTTCTAGACGCAAAAACAAATAAGAGAAAAGAGAAGGCATAAAAAGGGTCGGATATACCATTCTTGCCTTAAAACTCCCTTTCCTTTTGTTCTGCTTTTCAAAGGAAAAAAATGGATATGGAGCACACTTTACTAATTTTGTTCATTGTTACGAAATTCCGAAGGAAAAGGTTTCCATTGCAACAGGATTTCTTTCTTATTTTATGATAGCTACTAATCTCCCATGGTTATGATAGACATCTTACAAAACCAGCTCATAGACTATGACTATATATGAATATATTTCCAGCAGTAAGAAATATTCACCAGGTTGAGTGTCAACGAACTCCTGATCCTGGCGGTTTTCCGAGTAGGAGTAGATGAACTTAGGGGAGACGAAGAAATCAAAGAAGAAACCGGAACTTGAGCAGGCACTGACTTAACGATTCTCTCCGATATAGTATCTGACCCCGGTGCTGGTGAATTTGACTTAATTGGACTCGTACGAACCAATTCCACTTCGCTTCGCTCTGCAGCAGCCAAATCCTTAGGCATCGAAGAGCTTCGAACCGGAGAAGGAGACGGAGAAGACACGGGCGGTTGTTTCCTCAGAGACTTAGACGCAGAAGATTTGACAACCGTGACACGGTTCCGAGTGGTGTTAGGTCCAAGAAAGGATGGATAAACATAATCACGATCAGCAAAGCCGAAAGTTTGACCGGGGAAAGTGTCGCTGGTAGTGGTGCTGGAGCTGTCGGATGAGTCAAATGATCTTCTAGGAGACCAGTTGGAGGAAGAAGACGGTGGAACAGGAGGAGTTGAGTCATCAGAGGAGGAGACCCGGCGGACGGTCGGGAAGAGTGGACCAGGGAAGTGAGCGGTGGTGGAATCGGCGATGGTCCTGGATTTCTTGAGGAGAGGACGGCGTTCTGATAGCGGAATGTTAGGGTTTCGTTTGGTATCGAGTGAGTCTCCATTGGTGTTAGACATGATCTTCACCGGAATATCTCTCTGTCTCACATGGTGGTGGTAGGGAAGGTTTTTATCGGCCGGAATATTGTTTAGTGGTGTTGTACAGTAACACAGTTTGTTTTTTACCGTTACTAAAAGGTCATGACGCGTCGCCGTGTTTGTACATCTTTCTATGATTGAACCAACCTAATATCAAGTGTGTGGTATTGTTTATTTAAAGTAATTTATGTTTTTTTTACGTAAGCATTTATCAAATTATTAAAAGTTAGAAGAGTTTAATTTTTTTTTAAACTTCTTATTATCAGTTTGATACCGGTATAAGTTATTTATCCAAATATTTAAAAATGCTTATTAACAGTGTCATACCGGAATATGTCAATAAATTGTTTTTATAAGCAATCTCAAACACAGGGGCGGAACCCCATAGGGGCCTTTGGGGGCCATGGCCCCCCGCTTTTCTACTTAAATACTATAACTAAGTTATAAAAAATATATACATTAAGTAGCTCAGTTGGCAATGATATACCTCCTATATATTGGAGGTTGCTGTTTCAAATCCCATCCCAAGCAATTGTTTTTGCACTTTATAAAAGTTATTAATATTTAATTACATGTATTAGTTTTAATATAATATATTAATTATATGTAAATATAAGTTTTTAAAGTAAATTACACCGGTATCACTATTTCTCGGTTAATACTTAATGTTTTAGTTTTTAGAGTAAATAATATAATATATTAATTATATGTAAATATTGTTTAAATTGGTATTACTATTTTCCTGTTAATACTTTAAATGTTTCAAATTTTAATATTACATTAATTAATCTGTTTCGAAAAATTTAATAGTCTAAAAACAAATCATTTTGATTTACAAAATTTTACAATATTATAGCATCTTCAACATATTCTTCAAAAAATTTCCAAAATGGATAATTAAAACTCTATTAAAACCAAGCTCGAGCTCCCCGCCCCAGCCAATCTCTCATTGGCAGGAAAGTCGTTTCGATCCAATTCATTCTTGGGGTCAAATAAAGAAAAAAAATGATATGTCAGTGACCTATAAACCATTACTATCAATGATTATTAACGGTGTGAATATGATAGAAAAAAATGATTGGATCAAATACAATCCCCCATTGGCAGGAAAGTCGTTTCGATCTAATCCATTCTTGGGGTCAAATAAAGACAAAAAATGATATGTCAGTGACCTATAAACCATTAATATCAATGATTATTAACGGTGTGAATATGATGAAAAAAAAATGATTCTCTCTCATTGTAATCAATTTTTGTTTACACTCTCTCATGTTTTCTCCGTTTTGGAGAATTTTGGAGAGCCTGTTGGAGCAAAAATATGTCTAAAATCTCCATTTTCTCAATTTTGAAAAATCTATTGAAGATGCTCTTATATTTCGGCCCCCCGGACTACAACGGTTGTGTTCCGTCCCTGCTCAAACACTCATTTTATATTCATTCATGAATTGAAATTTAGAAGGGGATTTGATTTGGTGTGTTTTATTAATGTTGCATTCAATTAATATTGATCTAATAATGGAGATCTCTTCTTACGCTTCTCACCATAATACGTCTTACTATAACTTCCATTTTCACCAGAACTCAATCCTTAAGCTAAAATAACCAACATTTTACAAAACAATTTTTTTTCTTTTATTAAATATGATTTCGGTGTAATATTCGGGTTATTTTATTAGATTTAATAATTTAAATCTTTATGTTTATATGAATATTTTATGTAGATATGTGTGGGTGTGGGTGATGTAGTTATGTTAGCCGACCTTTGAGGGGCGGCCTATGTTTATCTGAATATTTTATGTAGAAGTGTGTGGGTGTGGGTGACGTAGTTATGTTAGCCGACCTTTGAGGGGCGGCCTATGTTTATCTGAATATTTTATGTAGAAGTGTGTGGGTGTGGGTGGCGTAGTTATGTTAGCCGACCTTTGAGGGGCGGTTATACACTTACTATAAATAGCAAGTGTATGTGAAAGAAAAAGAAGTTTAGCACACCTTTGAAACACTTTCTATATTAGGAAAGACTCCTTGGTGAATCCTACGGATTGGCAGAAAAAGAAAAAGAGAATTCAAAGCTAGGATATCTAATTTCTACGGTGAGTGTATTAAAGCTTTGAGTATAAATTGTTTACATACAATTTAGTAGTATTTGGAATTGGTCATTATGAATATAATATGTATGTGGATTATCAGTATATGGATAATAAACTGTTCAAGTGTTGTCCGGACTTAATTCTAAGTCTTATTAGTTCAACCAGCGGCTCTGGAAGAGAGACTAGAGGGGCTCTGGTCCTGATTGTCGAATTATATTCTAAGTGTGGTTGGTTCAACCAGAGGCTCTGGTTGTGAAGACCAGAAGCTCTGGAAGAGAGACCAGAGGGGCTCTGGTCCTGATTGTYGAATTATATTCTAAGTCTGGTTGGTTCAACCAGAGGCTCTGGTTGTGAAGACCAGAAGCTCTGGAAGAGAGACCAGAGGGGCTCTGGTCCGGAATGTTGAAATATTTTCTAATGTGGTTTAGAACCAGAGGCTCTGGTCGTGAAGACTAGCAGCTCTGGAAGAGAGACCAGAGGGGCTCTGGTCCTGGTTGTCGAAATATTTTCTAAGTATTGTTTGAAACCAGAGGCCCGATGGATCGAAGCAGTGTGTTTGTAATGGCGGTGTAACCGCGAGAGAGATGTAATGGCGGTGTAACCGCGAGAGAGATGTAATGACGGTGTAACCGCGAGAGAGATGTAATGGCGGTGTAACCGAGAGAGAGATGAAATG